CCGGTTTTTATAACATTGTTATAACCATAGTATTTTAATAAAAATATACTTTACTAAGAGAGTAATTGATAAGAAAAAAAAATAGGGTTGTAAGTGATAAAAGAATTTATGAACTTTTCCCTTGATTTTATATAGAGCCAACTTTTCAAGGATTGTTGGAAAAATAATTAAAATTTTGCTTACATTTTCATTTGTATATTTGTGTGCAAATATTATTTCATTAAAAAAACTAAAATATGAAAATTTATATTTTTTTATAGAATATTTGAAGAGAGTGTTAAATATTGATTTGTTAAAATAATTTTGAAAACTTTAAATCCGATAAAAAATAAAATTAAAAATAAAATTGTAATTTTGGCTGGCTAATAGGTTGACCCAAACTCATAGGATTTTTGGCTTATGCAGGACTTTATTATTTTGGCCTTGTGGGTCATTTGGCCCTGCGAGCTTTTTGGCTCTAACTCGTGCAAGTTAAGGTCTAACGAAGCGGGCATGCCCATTTTAATAGCTCTAAATTATTAAGTAATCGATGAACCAATAGATGATATTAAAAAGAAGTAAAATATTATTTATATATCACTCTACTTAAAATTTCATATAGTTGGGCAGACTAATAATCTCCATTTCAAGATTTTTAAATATCCTCCTCCTCAGTTGATGGAACTTATAGTTGCTGATGCTAGAAATATGTCTAGCTTATTAGTTTCTGATTTGTAATTTCTTTCTGTTTCTGGGGATTAGCCCCTCTTTATTTAAAAATAAAAAATAAAAAATCATATAATTTAACACTATTACAGTCACATATTCTTTATGTATTTGGCCAATTCTGATATTGTTAGGAAAAGTTCAAAAATCCTCTTATGAGTTTGCTTTGAATTATTTATACACTTTTTTTTAATCACTTATCCTTTATGATTTTTTCCATCTAAGTCTATCCTTAACACTGTTTCTTAGAATAAGAAAATAGATAGATAATAAAAAAGAAAAAGAAAAATAAGACTAAATTTAAACTTGCAAAACTTACAAAACAGACTAAAAGGAAAAAAATTGTAGAAGAAAAAAAGATCAAATATGTCTGAATCAAGAAGAAGAAAATAGATTAAGAATGAAAAAATTGAAGAAAAAATAAGATCGAATATGTTGAAAACTTGAAACACTGATAAAATAAAATAAATTAAAAAATAAAAATAGTCTAAATCAAAAAGAAAATATAGACTAAAAATAAAAAGATAATAGAAGAAAAATAAAATAAAAAAGAAATGGAAGAATAAGAAATCTGTAAGTTTCCTCCATATTTGATTTTATTTTTCCTTCTGTTTTTTCTTTTTTTCCTCATACCATTTTTTTATTTGGATATGTTTATTTTTTTCTTATATTTTTATTTTTTCGCTTTAAGTATTTTCTATCACCGTTGAAAGAAATGGAAGAAAAATAAGATAAAAGAAATCAATTTGTAAATTTTCAACATATATGATGTTATTTTTTATTTTATTTTTTGTCCTCAATCTATTTTCTTTATTTACACATATTTGGTCCTTTTTTTCTAGTATAACTTTTTTGTCTTCAGTTTATTTCCTTTTTTAGACTATTTTTTCCTTTTAGTTTTTTCTACTATTGTTATAAGTTTCCAACATATTTTTCTTAGTTTTCTTATTTTTTTTCCTGAGTCTATTTTGTTCTTTTTGATAGACATATTTAATCTTTTTTCTTCTATTTTCATTTTTTTATTTTAAGTCTTTTCTGTGAGTATTGTAAGTTTCAACATATTTGTTCTTTTTTTTTCTTTTATTTATTTTTGTCAAAAATATTTTCTCTTATTCTACGAAGGGTAAAATAGGTAGATTAGTTAAGTTTCTAACAGTGTTAAGGATTGACTTGGATGGACAAAACTATAGGAGAATAAATAATTAAAAAAATAGAATAGGGGTTTAAGTGATTCATAGCAAAACCATAAGAGAATTTTTAAATTTTTCCTTTTATTTATTAAAAAGGTTATTTTGGGTGACATTAAAATACTAATTTTTTTTTATCAATAATGAATACATGATTTCAATTAACTGGAAGAAGATATTTGAATTTTATTTTGATGAAGGAAAATTCAAACTTTTGAAGCCATTTAATTATAATGTAACGGATAAAAATATTATTAATTTGTTATTGAAACTTGAAAGAAAAGAAAATTTATGGTAATTGGTGAAATATCGAAAATTCATGTCATCTCCCAATATTTGAATGAGTTTCTCTCTCTTTAACAGCTAGGGACAGTCAATTATAACCATAATACAGGCTAAGGAAGGTGCGCACGAGTGTGGAAATATTTACTATGCTTTAATTTGGCAAAAAAAATTAAACTATTAGTATAAATATATAGCTATTTCAAAATTATTTATGAATTTATTGTACTCATTCACGCTTAAATTAGGCGTGATCATTCACACCTAATTTAGGTGTGACTTATAGGGTATTGAAACGTGGCACAAAAAAAGTCAATTTACGAATCATAAAACTTTGAAAAGGCATAATTTTTGACTCAGGTATCCAAATCAGGTAATTTATTTTTTTGATTCCACATAACATTTGAAGATCTACGCAATGATCTCATTTGACATATTTTATCTCTCACAACCATAGTTCGAATTTACAATAATGGTATTATAAGAGCGTTTAAACCCAGAAGCCTCTGAGTTCTAGGTTTGTGTTTTAATATATAAATAAATAAAGATTTGGTTTGCGTTTTAAATTAAAAAAATCTAAAAAATTATTATTAATAAGGAAAACAAAATAAAGTTTTGATTTGTGATTTAAACTCAAAAATCAATTTGAAAAATTTGTATTAACAAAGGAAAAAATTAAATAAATAATCTAAATCTCTAAGGAGGAAGGATTTTATTTTTGAAAACCATTCAGAGGCTATAAGTATAAGCTTCCAACGAATCCATATTTCTGTGTTTTTTAAAGTTATTTTTTATTATATTTCTGTATCTTGCGATTCGATATGATTCACGATACACGATACAAAAAATTGGTCAAACGATACATGATATGTATTGCGATTCAATAACCTTGTACACTATTTTTTTTTCAAACACTTGGTAGAAATTATATATTTTAATATGACATTAAATATCCTTATTTATAGATGGACTAATCCACTTTGATATCATCTTTAATTCCAGACCATGATTTAAAAGATAAAGTTTCTATTCACAATGATAAGAATACAGCCCATAGGATAAGGATAAAGAGGTTCTAGTAGGCAGAAGACTGTGTTTGGTGTTAATTCGAAAAGAACTCGGAGGCTTCTGGGTTTGAACGCTTGTATAGTACCATTGTTGCAAATTTAAACTGTGTTTGTGTGAGATAAAATATGTCCAATTAGGTGTCATTGCGTAGATCTCGAAAAGTTATATAGAATAAAAAAAATTACCTGATTCGGATACCCAAGTCAAAAATTATGGCATTCTGAAGTTTTACGGTTAAACTGTTAACTTTTTGTGCTACGTGTCAACTCCAAACGAGTCACGCCTACATTAGACGTGAATGGTTACACTCAATTTGGGCAAGAATAAGTGCAATATTCTCATAATTAGGTTCAAAACAGCAACTTATTAATTATTATTTATTAAAAAAGTAGTACTTTAATTTTTTTGCCAATTTGAAAAAAAAATTAAAATATTATTATTTTAATTTATACTTTCTTTTTATTTTCCTTAAGTTTAAAGAAGTTAGTGTTCTAATTCATATTTTCTTTTTCTCCTCCCGAATATTTAGTGCTACCAACAAATTAAAGGAGTAAAATATTATGTATACGATCACTCTACTTAAAAATGCATACAATAACATATTTTTTTTTGTAATTTGAATAAAAAGAATACAAAAAAGTTAAAGTCACATATATCATTGTGTATTTGACCAATAGTGATATTGTACACATAAATTTATTATTAAAATTTCTTTTGGGTAAACTTTAAATGAGTATTAAAATAATAAAGTTTTATCAATAATAAATACATTATTTCAATTAACTTGCACTGAAATTTGAATTCTATTTTGATGAACTGAAATTCAAACTTTTGAAGTCGTGTAATTACAAGATAACTCATAAAAATATTATTAATTTGTTATTAAAACGTAAAAGAAAAAATTATGAATTTTGATAATTGATGAAATCCCAAATTTTCAGGTAATCATCTATTATTAAAGGTCAATAAAGTCGCATGTATTTGAATGAGCTTCTCTCCCTCTCTGACAGCTTGCAATACATAACTCGCTTTTGCCAGTGTCATAATTCTAATCACAATATAAGCTAAAGAAGGCTAACAGAATGAGTAATCAATTGGCTAAAATAAAAATAAAGATCACGAGAAAATATTATTATTTTTAATTTTATTTAACTAAAAATAACCTGATAATAATAGAGTTTTCTAAGTCTTAAATAGACAAAATAAAAATAACAAAAAAATAAAGAACTATAATCATGCACAATAAAAGAAGATAAAGCACAATCAACGCACACTCAAATGTAATCTAAAAATAACAAAAAAGAAATAATTAACAATTATTAAAAAGCCTTAAATTATGAAATAAATTATAAAAAAATCCAATTCAAATCAGCCAGCTCAGATGTACCAAACACACAAATGTGAAAATCTCTACCTTGCTTCAATTTTTACTCTCTTATTATTCTCCCCAAAGTTAAATTGGGACTATAATTCTAATTTGGTCAGGTACTTAGGTTTGTTTGAAAAAATTTGCACACCTCTTCACAATCTCAAATGGGTGTTTAAAAAGCACATAAATGAGTTTAATGTCCTTTTTTGAGAAACCTTATTTTGGAGATTCCTTGTTCCACCCTGAGTTTAGCTATTTTAGTATATTATTGGTTAGTGTTACTTTGTGCCTGGGGTGTGGTGTCCCTTATATATTAAAGAGTGCAAGGGGATAGTTTCCAGTGAATTCATCATTACCATATTTCTCTACAAACCCACCCTTCTCCCCCTCAAACTTTTCAGTCAAAATTTATTATTTCAAAGCACTCTCCAATAGGATAAGCTTGTGTCCTCCCAGTGGTTGGTTCTATCTCTCCTCTTCCTGGTAAAGGTTCAATCTTCTTGTTGCCAGCTTTTGTACATGCCAGTTTATAGCAACCTTTACCGCTTCTTTTAACCAAAACCCCCCCTTTTATCTCAAGAAAAATGGCCCCTTCTGGAAGGACGACAACAACAACCTCAAAAACAAAGACTACAACAACTACAACAAGAAGAAGAACAAGACAGCATAGAAGAACACACTTCATACAGAAGAAGAAGCATACACAGAGCAAAAAACAAGAGATAAGTACTGTTTTGCCCTCTAGCTGCTCCTCAATAAGCTCACAAGGTTCTACAAAGGAAAGGGACATGGATATTTCTGAGGTAATTGATGTCTCTAACAGTGCATGCTCCACCCCAAAGGGTCACAAATTTCGGATACCAGAGATTTCAACATGCCCTCCAGCACCAAAGAAGCCAAGGGTACTTTCAAATTGCTCTTTGAGAAGGTCACCACTATCATTCTTTGCACCCCCTGACTTGGAGCTCTTCTTCTTGGTTGCACTTCGAGATGTTTCTGTTTGAATTGTGTGTTAATAGAAAAGATTACATCTACAATAAGATCATGACACTTTAGGAGATGGACTTTTGAAGTGGTTTTAGCATATTTTTCTCTTCGTATCTCTTGCAAATGAGAGAGAGGTATGCTTTGGAAATTCTAGATTTTGGTGTGTTGATCTTAGGAAATAGTTACTTGCCCTTGCTTTAATTTCTGCTAATCTTAGCTGAGTAACAACTTGTAGGGTTTGTTTTTCACTAAATTTAGATGGGGTGGTTCTCCAACTAAATTTAAATTTTAAGCTTACTTTCTTTCTTTTTTATTGTTTACCTCTTATAGAAGATATATGTTCTGACCTTTAAATTTAAGTGTGTTGAGTGCAAATGTGTAATGGATTTGGTTTAAGGTTTGTGAATGTTCCAAGGTTGCAACTCTACAAAAGCTTCAGTTGTCAATTAGTTACTTTGAGAGAAAGTAAAGTCATAGAAACACTTTCCTTTTGAATTTCTCTCTATTACTTCATCTCCAATTTCTCTATTGCACCACTTAGTGATGATGGCAGTTTTTGCAAGATGACTTTTGTTTCTATACTACTGGTTTTAAAATTTTTGAGTGTATATTCATGGCTACAAGTAGTTATGTAATGGTAAACCATCCTTACTCTGCATCAGAAATTTTTATTTCAGCAATAGTACTCTGTAGTCTGCAGTTCCATATATGCAAAAATTGTGTAACAAATTCAAATTATCATCTTCAATTTGACATGATTAGACAAGGCTGTAATTAAGAGTTTGATTTTCATTTTGTATTTGGTAGGCCTAAACCCCACTAATCATAATACTGTGGCACTATTGTTTGTCTACAATATTTAATTAAATTAGACTGAACCAGTGTTTAATATAGTCAAACTTAGGGTCCACTTTATACGTCAAATGATACAATGCTATCAGGTCCAAAAAAAAAAAGCTTTCATTTTCATAGAAGGCGTTCCAACTTTGTTGCACCTAATTAGGTTCACATGAGGCTCAAGGGATCTGGTTACAGTACATTGAGGCGTTTTTACTGAAGTTGTCAAAATTTAAAAATAAAAATAAAAATTACCAACATTTGGAAACTTATTTACATGTCTAGGGTTGGGAATGAATGGCATGGGGCGGACCCTGACCTCTACCTTTATTTAGAAAAAAAAATTAGAGGACAATCATTGTTATTTTTCAAATTAACATTGAATTTCTTGAGTGAAGTTATAATTAGCATTGAATCATCAATGGGTGTCAATCGTAATTAATAATTAATATCGTGAAGAAATGTCTTCTGCTTTCGTTTAGATATTCATTTGCGAAATCCCATTTATCAGATACTACTTTTCGAAATTTTTATAAATTCAAAAACACTCAATTTAATGTTAAATAATAACAATTTCATCATTGATTTTTATTTTTTTATCTTTTCCAAAAAAAATTAAATGACATTGAATTGACATATAAATAATGTTTTATAGTTTTTTAGATACGTAAAGTAATTATTAAACTATTTTTTGGAGAGCATTTGAGGTTTTTTTACTGTAAGTAACATCAATTATATTTTTATTAAATATAGATGGCTTGGTGACAGATTTACACTTGCCAAAATCCTTGGTTTATTTTTCTGTATTGCCCTTTTTTTTGTCCATTTTTTTTAGTGAAGTATGATTGTCTTCTAAATACAAAAAAAAAAAAAATGTATGATTGCCTTCTAAAAGTAAAAAAAGAAAAAGGATAAATACCTTCTAGAAATTTAAGAAAATATTTTTTCACGCCATCATCGACTAAAAATATGAATGTAATTTTTTTAATTAAAGTTTTTAAATTTTTTGTTATTTCTAAATAAAAATTTTCTTCCAATGTCTTACAATTTGGTTTGGCTCTCCAATAAATCATAAGATTTGGTTTTCTCATTTTTATTAAATGATATTTTATCATTTTACAATAATATGTAAAAATCTAAATCTTTTCAGTAAGAGGAGAAAAAACGAAAAATAATAATAAATTATTATTAATTACAATAGATTTGATTTTTTTTAAATTTATTAACAACATCATAACAAATGAAAATTAAAATATTAATCAATGTTAATCTAATAATAATAATATCGGTTGTTATTTATAATATTAATTATTATTTATAATGTTAACGCACGAATGGTAAAAGGTTAAGATGGTGTTGCCACCTTTCGTCAATTCGGCAGTGTATTTTTTTTTATAAAATATTAATCGGTGTTTGAAATTCTTCGGGATCCTATTAATTCAATTTCGAATTTGAGTTTTTTACCGTCTTAAAGAAGGGGTAGGATATTGTAATAATTAATTAGTGTTACTACCAATATTACTACCCATCAATTTTACTGTTAAATCGATTATGTTCATCTATCGGTTATATTTATTTCCATCTTTGTATGGTTATGATTCCTCGTATTTAATATGAAAACATTAAATATGAAAAATCATAATCACACAAAAATAAAAATAAATATGAAATATTAAATATGGAGAATTATAATCATACAAAGATGAAAATAAATATAACCGTTGAATCAACATAATCGATGTAACGGTGAAATTGATTAATAATAATAGTAACACTAATTGATTGTTACAATATCCTCTCCCTTAAAAAATTAAAAAATTGAACTTATTATTCTTTGGACAAATTAAATCTTATCATCTAGCCGGATCGCCACCTCTCCTAAACCTCTCAATTTGTTATTCCTAATCTCAAATAAATGAATAAATTTTCAATAAATCGGTAAATAAATTTTCAACATCATTGTATTGGTATTTTTATTTTTAGAATTTTAATTATTGCCATCAACTTGCGGGATTGTAGCTACAAATCATTTTTGTAGTGTTTTGGAACTGGGCCTCATGACAAATTTCTAGTGAAAGTTAGCGAAGACAGTGACAGAGCTGCTGTGAAGACAGTTTTAACCTTTAGTGTCAAAGTGTAAGCACAAACTGGGGCGTATTTGGTTTTTTAAACATTTGTCTAATTTTTTATTATTATTAATAATAGGACGAGAACGATTATGTGAAATTTTAAGAAATAGATCCTCTCATATTAAAATTTACATGACTTGATTATGTAAAAAATTTGTATCTATCTTTTTCTTCATATTTATTAAATAAATGAAATTCAATTATTATTAATGAAAATAAAAATAAATTCAAAAATTTCATATAATCAAATCACATAAAATTTTAACATCAGAATATTCATTCCCAAATTTTAACCTGAAAGAGGATCACTCCAATCTGTGATTAAGGGGCTGAAATCATTTTGTCAGATTTGTGGTTATCTGTGTGTCTGAACACACCCAGCATCCCGTAAGAGAATCCAATGAAGGGACTCTCGTGCGGCTCTGTCATTGTCACCTTGGAGAATCTCAAGAAATTTCCCATCATTTTTTTCACATACTTTCCAGACTTTTCTTCATTCGTGATGGCTCATATTAATTTCCACAATAAGAGAGGAAAAATGTTATCCCAGCAACTATACATATTATTTTAGGGATTATGTTTTCTTAGGCAACAGAAGATAATTATCTCATATTGTACTCATAATTTTATGTGGGTTTTATTGTACCGAAAAAAAAGAATTTTTTTTTGAAGTGGAACCCATATTTTTATAAATGTGTAGGGGAGACTTGTTGTCTCATGTGACATAAGGTTAATATTTTCTATTATTTTATGTTTATATAATTTTTATCTTCAAATTATAGGGGTGACAAATCATATTCGTTGACAAAATAAAATTTGACATAAATATAAATATTTTTAATACAATTATGATATGAATAATTATTCGTGTTAAAATTGATATTGACACAATTTAATTTATTATACGATCGATTTGATACTACATAAATAATTTGTTAATTTTATTTTTTAAGTAAAAATTACTTAAATAATTTTAAATTATATAAAAATGGGGCAATTGGGTAAGTATGTAATTAGGATCAAGGTTATTTTTCATCATTTTATGTTACACTTTCAATTTTAGCCTTTAACTCCTCTCATATTTAACAGGTCTGTTTTTTTTAGTTTGAACCATTAATTACAAATAAATCAATGACCAAAAATAAATATAAAATTTTTATTCGTATACTGATCATATAAAAATAACCTACTCCATTATATAATTATAGTATAATTTTATATAATTTTGTATTATATAAGTTTTATGTTAAATGTTTCTGGTTGAATAATAAAATTTATAGATTTATAAATATTATATACTTATAGTAAAAGTTGTATATTTATAAAAAAAATATTTTTATTATTTAACATGTAACTTTTTAAAAAAAGGATTATGTCATATTTTATTTTCCTTCCAAATCTATGTCTTAACTCTGACACTGTCACGTGTGTTTCCTATTTGTAGACTATTATTTCTTATTCGTTAAGGTTCTTTTCCCCCCATCATATTCATATTTATTGTACGAGGGATTATTTTTTTTGAAATAAAGTCAAGCGTTAAAAGCACTTTTTAAAAATCCGGCTTAGCCATTGACCCGATCGAGGTAGGTCATGGTCACGAGTTCAATTGGGGGTCACGTGATCACTATGCTAAAATGATTTTATATATTAAAAAAATATAAATATATATATTCTATATGAAAATATTAAAAAATTAATCACAAATTATCAAAGATTCAAAATATACTTAACATAATTCACCATTTACAATCACAAGCCAATATTACACAACTTAATTAAAGTATGAAGATACCAAAGTACAAAACTCATATTCTAATGGGGTCACTACGCTGACCCGATTCTGCCTCTTTTGAGAAGGTCCCTAACAAAGGAAAATTTAAAGGAAGTGAGTTTTTGTTTTCAATCGACGACCGTAAGGATTTCATTTGAATGAGTAAAATTTTTATCTTTTCTAAAAGATTACGGCACCGAGGTGAAGATTGAAGAGATCTAGGTCGCTGAGAGAGAAAAGAACGATCAGATTTAGGTTTGCAAGTACTTTTTTTTTTAAT